GTGTTACTTCGTTCGGTTGTCCTTCCTCCAGCTCTAAATAACTTTTTACTGGTATTTTGAAGGTTTCCTTACCTATCCTCCTGGTTCTTAGCAGCCGGATTGACTTCAGGAGTTTCTGGCAGGTTCACGATACTAAATATGGGCATTTTTCACAAAAACTGGGCCCAAGAAGCCCGCCAATTATCCTGGGTAGCCAAAAGTTGATGGTAGTGTTGGGGTTCGGCAGCCGGATGGGACACGGCCGGAATGTCGTTTGGCAGGAAAGTCCGCACCATACGAATTACGATATACTAGGCCGCTTTTAGGTCTCGAACGTACCTCTTTGACTTCTAGGACTTTGTTACAGCTGCCTTTGGGAGGGCAGGGACAATATTCGGCATCCCTTCCGGGGCCTCCGACACGTCCCGGCTGGAAAATTGGTCTTTTTTGGATTTTAAGGGGCTTGAGAAGGCAATAAGGCAATAGCAGCGATCGGTTAGGAAAACAACTCTCCATAAACTTACCAATCCACGATTCCCGGGTGTCCCATTGAAGCCGCGCTTCCCGGGAGGTCCCAGTGGCCCAACAGGCCCTGGAGGACCAAGCGGGCCAGGTTGCCCTGACGGCCCTGGTGGGCCCCTAGACCCCAGGGGCCCTGGTGGCCCCTGAGGCCCGGGAAGCCCGACCATGACCATCTGATTTCGGCCTTTCTCTCCAGGCTTCCCGTTAGAGCCGTCATTGCCAGGTGAGCCCTCATCACCGGGTGGCCCTAAAGTAGTTTTTCCTGATTTTATAGATAGCATTGCGTGAAATAGCTAGGCAAGGCGTATGAACGCATCGCGGATGCGGTGCGACGCCGGCACGACTTGGCGCTTCCCTTGAATACCTACCGCATTCTCCAGGCAGCCCGCGTCGACCTGGTCGCCCTCGATGACCGGCTTCTCCATCGATACCCTAAACCGGAAGTGAACTTAAAGCTGTATCTCAATTTTTGTCGTTCTCGCATTCTCTCTCTTTCTCTCTCACTCACTCTCTCTTTTTCTCTCTCTCACTCAATCTCTTTCTCTTTCTCTTTCTCTTTATCCTTCTCTTTCTCTCTCTCTCAATCTCTCGCTCTCCCCCTCTTTTTCCTCTACCTACCGGTGGCCCTGGTGGTCCAAGCGCCCCGGGACCACCAGGAGGCCCAGCTGGGCATACGATACATCCGGGAGTCTCATACGGCAGCCCCACAGGGATCGAGATTCCATCGGCACCCGGGCGACCGGGGCTACCAGGAAAGCCGAGGTCTACAAGAAGGTGATTTTATCGCAAGAATCAGATTTGTACAGAAACGAGACGAAACGAAGTTTAGCCTTACATAAAAACCACAAAAATGTCTGTATTTTACAACAAGTTGATTCTAGCCTTTAGCTTAGCAAAAACCATACCTCCCACGTCCCCTGGCTCGCCTGGAGGCCCTGGTGGCCCCGGTGGGCATCCGCTGGCTTGAGGACCGCAATCTGAATGTTTTAAGCGATTTTATTAAATTGTAAAATGTATCTTCTACTCTGGAAAATACTGTAAAAACCCACTGCACTGTTGACCACCATCAAATTGGAGCAGGTTCTCGTCGACGCCCTCATTTCCGGTGTCCCCATCGAATTCCGGCTAGGAAATTTGTATAAAAAGTCTTAGAATATTTCAAATTAAAAATTTAGGAGTTTTCGCATAGTTTAAGGTTTGTATACGGAGACGGTATTCAAGCAATTTTTGAAAATCTAGATTTTTTTCTTATACAGCTTGTATGCAAATTAGTCCGAGTCTGACCCCACCTGGCCGTATTGCTTCCGGATTCTTCTTCCTGGCTTCAAGCTGCATGCCGAGGATTCGATGGGAGTAGGTTGAACGGGCTGTCCTGGGGGCCAATTCCTGCATGTCATCCCAGGCCATTTTTGAGAGCCTCTGTATGCAAATTAGGCTTTAGAGCGGAACATCGACAAGCACAACCCCGACATCCAAAATGCCGACATTAAGATGCTGACGCGCAAAATGCCAACGCAAAAAATGCCGACGCAGTAGATGCTGATAAGGCGAAGTACCAACATGCACAATGCCGTCACCCAAAATGCCGACAGCATTGATGACAACAGTAGTAATCCCGACACCCCAAATGCGAATGAGTCAAAATACCGACAATCGTAACACCGATAGGCGAAATTTCGGAATTCAAAGTGCGGATTGACCCAAATACCGAAAGATGAAATGCCTATACGCTGAAATGCCGACAGCCAATATGTCGACATCAGAACGAATTTCGACTTATCGGCATTTTTGTGTCGGCGTTTCTTGTAAAACATTTAAATTTCAAAATTTTTCGGCACTCTTTTCCCGGAAACTTCGAGCTCCATATTTTAATTGTCGGCATTTTGCCTGCACACCCACCTTGAACTCCTCGACGTCGGCCATGCTATCATGGAATACAGTTTGTAGATCGAGGAATACTCTTCCCAGATAGAAAATAGAAACTGCCAACACGAAGGAGGAGCCGATCAGGGAGACGGTAGCGGCCAGACGGATGCCTTTTAGGGAGGGGTGGCCCATCTGAAATGGAGAGAGAGAGAGAGGGAGAGATAGAGAGAGGGAAAAAGCTAGAAATATGGAAATTTAACATGACTTTAACTCAAGCTCATCCTTGAATAAATAGAGGTCAGTGGCCCCTTAAGAAAAGCACTAGGGAAGCCAATTTATAGAAAGCGACACTGTCTGTCTTCTCTTTCTCTCTCTCTCTCTTCTCTCTCTCTCTCTCTCCTTCTCTCTCTCCCGCTATAGACGGAAAATGGAGAAGGATACCTTTCAAGTGCTTTGATGTCCAACCATCCTTCTTCCCTTCCCCCTAGGGGTCTATTGCCACTTGTAGCAGATCCACAACGGGTAATTGGGGGAGTCACGGTTCGGGAGAGAGAGAGAGAGGAGAGAGAGAAAGAGAGAGAGAGAGAGCGAAAGAGAGAGAGAGAGCGAGTGAACAACGACTTTTGCAAAATCGCATTTTCCGAATAATCCCCGGTTCGCAAATAATGGAGCACCAGCCACCCCTCCCTTTATTTGTTCCTGGTCGTGCTCACAAATCTGGTTTCCCGAGACTGCCTGTCCTTGTATGTGGATTTGCATACGATCGGTTCTTTTGCATTATCGGGGGTTCCAAGGTTTTTGACAATTCAGAAAGGCCTAGGAAGTATTTTAATATTTTTAACTTAAATTTAGCTATATTTAAGGTGATGAACTGGCTAAAACACTTGGAAATATTGAAATTTCGGTCGAAAATTGGTCATTTGTAGTGGAAAATCGACTTTTTTGTACTTTTCAATAAAAATAGGGAAATTGTGATTTATACGTTTTAATTCCCATCAGCTTCCTTTATTTTTTCACTTTTCTTTCATTTGCAATTTACATAAATTTCCAACGAATTTATTCGAGCCACACAGAAATCAAAAAACAAGTATAGCCATAATCTCTCTTTTATCTAGCAAAAAAAATGGAAAAAAACAAACAGGGAATCAAGACACGTTTCGGGACACGAAATAGGGAGCATACTCAGCTGCAGTATACCAGATAGCTTATAAAAGTACAGTATACGGTGTACGATAGCTACGGCATTACGGTAGGTATGAAAATAGCAAAATATCGGCACAGCTCGGAGCGTAGAAAATTTAAAAAACACAAAAAAAACGAAAATCACCAGGTGGACATCCGAAAATTCTAAAATTTGCATAAGAAGCTAAAATTTGACACATTGAGCTCGATACAGTATCGGAAAGGAAAAAAGAAGTTTTAGGAAATGGGCGCTGTGCGTAGGTACATTGGGGGCATTTTAAAGGGCCGTTCAAGACAGATTTCCTGTATCTTTTTTGAGAAATATTTTTTAAGTCAAACAGTAGATTTATGCAAATTAAAGATTTTCGAACTTAATTTGCATAAAAATGACTTCAAAACTTGTGTAAAATGCAAAAAAATAGTTTTTAAAGGACCATTGAAGTCAGGCTTTCCTTATGTTGTTGGTAGATTTTGATCAAATAAGTTTGTAATGCCTAATTAGCATAAAATTACTTTAGCGGTCCTCTAAAGGAAAAACCATGCATTTTTAAGAGCCAGATTTTCTGTCTTTTTTGAAGAAATATTGTGTGAATCTTACTGTCGTTTTCAGGGCCCTAATTTGCATAAAAATGGCTTCATCGACTCTGTAAAGTCGCGAAATGACTTTTCAAGTGACCGGGAAGTCATTGGAAATCCCAAAAATTCCGAAAATACTTTAAACAGTCAAAAACTAGATTTAAATAGCTGCGCATTTTTGAACTATCATGGGTGCGTATAGAAGGAGAGGAAAAATATACAAAAATGACAAATACAAGTACAGTAGTACCGCAAAATCGATATTTTCACCCGTAACTCTTGAGCGCTTCCTCCAGCGACGCGTACGCTTCATCGCCAAGCTTCAGCGTCCTCGTACGGCGTACTAAAAAGGATAAATTAAATTTTTCGTACTGTAACCACAGTAATTATTCAAATACTACAGTAATTAGGCAAATTATACAGTTTTTTTCTGGGTTAGACGCACGCCAAAAACTTTACAAAATTAGTATATAGTCCGTTGAAACCGAAAATATTCCGGGGCACTCCAAAAAACGAGACAAAATATCAAACTCTCGATTATTTAAGACCAAATTAAAAATATATCGATCGGAACCAAGGACAGGCCAGAAACCACGGTTATCGTATGTTTATCAAGTAACCTTTTTCTCAGAGATTTCCGCACCGCTACTACAAACGGCCAACTGAAAATTGGAGCGTTCCGGAAAGATCTCGAAATCGTGATCAGGTCACTATTTTTATATTTGTCATTTTTGGGTTGAGATTTTTCAAGGAGCCATTTCCATTTATCGTTCGTAGCGTGCTGCGGCGGGCGGAGCCTACGAAATCGTAGCCTACGGTAGAGTAATGTAACGTAGCGCATCCTGTTATGAGGATCTACGGTATCCTACGGTAGACTTATGTCTCGTCCGATAGCATACTGTATCCTACGGTAATTTAAAGTACTGTAACATACTTTGGTGTATTGTAGCGTACCTAGGCATACTGTAACATGCGCTAATGTACTACTAACGTATTCTGCTGTTTCCTACTGTAACGTACCACTACGTACTACGACGTACTGGGACTGGCTATGTTACGACGTTACGTATTCTATCGTAACATTTGTGTAGCGTAGTGCACCGTAGCTTAGCGCAGTGATTCGTAGCCTAGCATACTGTACTGTACTTTAGCGTATCGTACCGTACTTCAGCGTGCCGTACCGCATCCTAGCGTTCTTTATCGTACATTAGCGTACTGTATCGTATCTTAGCGTCCTAAAGTTGTGTATCGTTATATGCAAACAGGTATATCGTCTTGTATTGTGGCTTACTGTACAATATGGTAAAATTATTTTGATGTAGTGGTCCTACGGCAGGTTACTGTAAAATTAATGAAAACTTACAAGATTTCCGGTTGAGCTGTCGTGCGCGGCGTCGTTCCCTGGGTTCAGCTGATGTGAGACCGGTTGCTGCTCGGACCAGACCGTCTAATAGAGCATTTTCCAAATCATCCCCGCCATCCAGGGGTGAGTTCGGATCTTTCCGCATCGCTAAGGTCATTAAAGCGTTTCAGAATTGCATACTTTCTTACCCTCTCTCTGCCCAACGACATGCCTGGCGAAATCACGATCCGGAGCGGCTCGTACTCTTCTTAAAGTACCATTTCCGGTGGTGGCGGCATCGGCGAGGCTGGTCAGCATCTTTGAGAGCTCGTCTTGGCGCTGCAAATGGAGATTTTTTTGGGATTCCAGCATGATCCCTGCTAGCTTGTCTAGAACTACAGTAACGGAAAACAGACCTGCTCAACGCTCATATCGCTTGGTGGCCTCCTTGATTTCACCGTCGTACTTCCGCTTGCCGGCCCCTCAGCGCCAGCTCCATCAACCCAGATCTTTCCGCTATAATACGGAATTTACAGTTTAAAAATACACTACACAGCTTCCAGCATAGTCAATTACGCCATATAAATCTCTACCGTGTCTTATTCCTCTCCCGCTTCTCGGCCATCCGTTTCCGCTGCTGCAGGATCTTGTCCCGGGTGGTACGGTATTCTAGCGCGAATTCGGTGACCTAAAATGAAAAATGAAACTCTCAGCTACGGTAACTGACCATCTTGAACACCTCGTTCTGCTTCATGTCGGGGATCTCTTGGACCGAGTAGCCGAAGTAGAATAGGAAGGCGTGCCATCTGGAAGTAGGGGTTGTCAGATGTTTTGAAGAGAGAGAGAGAGAGAGAGAGAGAGAGAGAGAGAGAGAGAAAGAGAGAGAGAGAGAGAGACAGAGATAGATAGAGAGCGAGCGCGAGTGAGAGCGAGAGAGAGTGAAAGAGTGAGAGAGTGAGATAGAGAGAGATACTTACCTATTCTGCGACAATCTCCAGATAGCCTTCAGCTGATGAATCCTCTGTGCAACGTCGGTGAGGTAGTCGTTGATCTTCTGCTTCATGCTCGATTGGTCGTTCTTCGAGATCTTGGCCAAGTACTCCCAGGAGACCTTGCAATCGTGCTCCAGCTTCTTCAGACCTTCGAGGAGCTCCTTGTAGTCGACCTGAAAGCGGTAGATGAGCTTTGGATGTTGCTCTCTCTCTTCTCTCTCTATCTCACCCTAGCACTCCTCGCGACAGCTCCGAATTCTGAATACAAGTCGGTCCCCTCTGGGAAGTGCTCGATCATGTATTCAGCCAAATGCCATGTCAAAGGATGCTTGTAGACCGGATCCTTCACCTCCGACGCCTTCGCCAAGTAGTCCAGGTAGAAGCCCTTGATCTGAAACCACGGAATTCAGATCAGAAATATTCGAAGAGGCTAAATTCCAGGTGAAGGTTCCGAAAATCCAATTCCTTGTCGAAAAATATCTACGTCCCATTTTTCACATTTTTGCCGGATCGTGAATTTTTTAGATATTGTAGTTTATAGAGCCAAAAAAATCTGCATTTTATCCATTTATTAAAAAACTTTAAAACGAATGTTTACGCTATTTTTACTAAAAAGTATTCTAAACCGGCGAAAGTTTGGTTTCGGCTAATTTTTAAAGGGTTTTTCAATGAATTTTTAATGGTTACAAATACGTTGATTTGTAGAAGAAAAATTCAATGTATTTTACATTGTTTTCTCAATTTTTAATGATATGGTTACGGTATCCAAAAGCCTAAAAACGCAAAAAATCTCCCACATCAGTCCCATTCAACGTGTTCCCGATCTTCAACAGCATCCCCATGGCGACACTGAACGTCTTCGACTTCTCCATCTCGTCCATCGCCCTCTGCATGTCCATCAATGCCTCGGCCAGGTCTTTCTCTGCATTTTTGTAGTCGAGGGTGAAGATCCAGAGCTTCAGTCTCTCCAGAAGGCATGGGATTGAGGCGATTTTTAGCAGGAATTGTTCAGCATTTCCCAACGGCATATCCGGGTTTTCGGCCTGGAAGGAATGGCGTATTTAGTTGTCGTATTTCGGGGGTTTTCAGAAATCTCTGCTAGCTTGCCCTTTCGGAATTCTATGCTCCTCAAGGATCTCTGCTGGCCTGCTCTTAAAATCCCTCAAGAATACTCTCTGCTAGCTTGCTCAACGAAGCTGTGCTACTCAGCATCAAAATTCCTCAAAAATCACTGCTAGCCTACCCTCAAATTTCCTAAAAAAAGCCCTCCAACTCCTTTAGATCTTTGCCAGCCATCCCTTGAAAATTCCTCAAAAACCTCTGCTAGCCTGCAGGCCCAATCCTTAAAGATCTCTGCCATCTTGCCAACCTGCTTGTTCTCAATCTCCTCAATCTCCTTTGTGGAGGGCATCATTTCACGCAGGATTTTCTCGATCATTTCTTTGTTGAGAACGAGGGCGTCGAATTTCTAAAATGCATATGGGTTATGGATTTTCCTTCCTGGCTCCTTTAAAACCCGATAGAAACTTACCATGATGGCTGTTGGGATCACATTGACCGGTGGCAATTTTGTCAATCCGATGTTGATAGTCTGGGATCGCTTCAGGGAGAGCACTTGCAGGACTTGAGGCTTCACGTCACCGCTTGTCTTCTGAAGCGAGAGGTAGAGCAGAGAGAGAGCGAGAGAGAGAGAGAGAGAGAGAGAGAGAGAGTGAGGAGAGAGAGAAAACTCACCTTCACCCCGCTATCCTTCGCCTTGGCCTCGAAAAGCTGCGCCAACTTGCTGGCGTCGATTGCCGGGAGATCCAGCTGTTTCCAGAAGGTACCCTGAAAACCGGGTCAAATCCTCAATGATCTCTGCAAAACCGCCCTCGCTTCCACAATGATATCTGCTAGCTACCTCTCATTCCAAAGTCACTCTCTGCTCACCTTATTCTTCAACGTCGGCACGGGTGGAGCTTCAGCCTGTGCTGCCTTCCAATGCAGTCTCAACGTGTTGGTCTTGGGTAGGGGTGATGAGTCGCGGAATGCTCCAGCCAGTGGAGGGGGAGGTGGGACACCTCCTGCTCCCGGTAGGGGAGGCGGAGGTGGGGCAAGGTGGGCGCCGTTTTGTACTGAAAATTGTTTAATAAGTCTCATCTACTATATTTTAGTCCTGAAGAGATCTTTACGTCCTGCCGTTTCATTAATGCGCCTAGTTACGACCTTGAGAGTCCCTATAAAATATTAGATCACTTACATCGAGGTGGCAGTGGGATACTTCCGGGTGGAGGTGGGATGAAGCCGCCGCCGGCTGCGATTTTCTCTTGCTGTATCGTTTGCCGGGCCATTACCTAAAAACATCGATATTAGTTAGGTTACGGTAGACGCGGCTAAATTGGGTTCAATCTTAATTGTTGCAAACATCCAAATATTAAGGGAGTATTAAGTGTATCGATTAAACCGATAATACCTACCAACGGGTCCTGCTCGTATTCGTCGGCGTGGAACTCGGAGAAGTCGAGGTCGTTGATGATCAATGGCTTCGACTTGAGGGATTCGGCAGCCTGGAAAAATTGATAGGTAGAGAGAAAGAGAGAGGAATAGAGAGAGAGAGACGGAAGAGAGAGAAAGAGAGCGCGAGAGAGAGCGAGAGAGAGAGCGAGAGATAGTGAGGGCGAGATAGAGAGAGAGAGAGAGCGGAAAAGAGAGAGAGAGAGAGAGAGAGAAAGAGAGAGAGAGCAACATACCCTATTCCACTGCATCTCCCCCTCATTCATCTTCGGCTCAAATGCGGCTCGATTCCCTTCAGCTGCCTTGGCTGCTCTTTTTTGTAACAAAGCCGCAAAACAATTTGTGGTTCCGGAATCCGAGGCGTCGTCATCGTCTTTCTCGATCTAAAAAATGCGCATTAATGGTAGGCATAATTCCCATCGATTTTAAGTATTTTTTAATGGAAGATTAAATTGATAAAAATATTTTTGTTAAGAAAACCATGCCGAAGTTACAAAAAAAATGTTAAACTAGAAACTTAAGGCGACTAGAAATTAAAAAATTAATGAATTTAGCGTTACAAACTGAATAATTTAATTGACCAATTAATGGATTTAATCAAAGGACCGAATTCTAAGGCATGCAAATTAGTTCCCAAAATTTGCGTTTAAAGTTTTAAATTTTCTAAATTGCCAAATTTTTAAATTTTCATGACTTGAATGTAAAGCAAACTTTGTTAAATTATAAAAAAGAAGGTGAAAAACCGATTTGACAATTAACTAAATAAAACTAAAGTAAACAAATAAAATAAATAAAAATCATTCAAATCCAACATCTCCACCTGTGCTCGAGGGGGCGGGCTATGAATATCGCGTTGGTAGCCATTAATTCCGGAACTTCCGTAATTAGTTGCTGGCGTAGCCGTGGAGGTGGACGGCTCCGGGAAGTCCATATGTTTGCTCTCCGTCGGGGAGAACAACGTCGGGAAGGAGGGCGGCGGGGCTTTGACCTGGGAGGGCTACGGTAGGAGGGGCAGATTTTAGGGTGGAAATTGGAGGTATTTAGGTATGTTTAAAACTAATCGATAGCGGGGTGTAGCTAGAAGAGTGTTTTCAGGATTTAGCTTAGGTTTAGCTCAGGCTTAGCTTACGCTTGGCTCTGGCTTAAGCTTAGGCCGGGCTTAGGCTTGGACCTAGGCTTAGGCAAGGCTTAGCTTGGCTCAGCTTGGGCTTATCTTTGGCTTAGGCTTAGGTTTAAGAAGACTGACCGGCTTCTCGTCCTCCGCCACCTCATCCGGCACCTCGTTCTCCTGATTCTCGATGAGCTTGATCGGTTCGGGGATCTTGCGCTCCTTGGAAAGGTCGGGTGATGTGGAGATGATCGGGGCCGGCTAAAAAATAATGGATATGATTATTTATTTCTTTAATGGCTATTATTTGTTTAATAAGTAAGCTCAAAATTTGAAAACCGTTGTTTTAAGCGCTTTTGGGGACTTTTTTAGTACAAGCTCGTGCTCATCAGATGAATCAGGCAATTCTCTACAAAATTCCATTTTTCAAGAATTGAATGGATTACGGTCGCCGAAAAAAACTAAATAAAACGCTTTTTTGGCTATGATCCTCCTAAATATGGCGTCTAAAGTAATTTGTTGAAGTCCATACTATAATATAGTAGTTCTACAGTAATTCCGGCCCCGGTACATCGTGCTCTCCACCTACCGTATGGTTATTATTCGGTTCCGGCGTCTTTGACTGCTCGGTCCTCCAGGAAGAAGCCAGGGGCTGCCTTGGTGGTTCTGGCGAGACGCTAAAAAAATATTGTTAATCCAGACAAAAATCCAGGTAAGCGTATTGTATCTAGTTAGCCATCTATTAAAGTCCGAAAATCGACCCAAGTGCCAAGGAATTATTTCAAAACTAAAACAGTTACGTCGTTATAAACATTTTTTTTCAAGATCTATACAGCCAACCAAATGCCGGAAATGCTTTAGTTTTAATAAAACTTACGGCCTAGCATTCGGCTTTTCGAACATCTGGCGATTTTGGGTAACTGAAAGGTGCTCTTCTTGGCGTTGTAGGGATTCCTGAGAACATTTGTATAATCCTAGTCTTCGAAGCTTGAAACCTGATGCCGTCTCCGCATTAATGAACGTCGATCTTGCGAGGAATTTGAGGAAGCTCTGGAAACGACGGCAGGTCTAAAATACCGCTTATAAAACCTCTACCACGCTCTAATTACCGTAATCTTGCCGTGCCGTCATCGCTGGCATCACTGCTACCCTCTTCGGCGGCATCTTCCTGAAATAAACTTCCAAGTAGCCGTTATTTCGAATTTCGGTATAGGTAAGCTAAGAATCGTATTTTTGCATTTTTAGGTGGTATGCCGTAGCCCGTAGGGTATAGCGATACGTGGAACGTATACCGTAAAGAATTCCGAATTTCCGAAGTAATACCTAAAATTACGCACCTGGTTCAGTTCCCTCTCATACAGCCTGCACTGCTCGATTAGCTCCTTGTTATTGGTAGCGGTCTGTAAAAAAAATATAGTAGAACTGCCGTAATAGATTGAATTTTGAAATCTCAGTTTTATAAAATGATGCAGACTCACCAATTGTTTCATCACTTTGTCCATACCGAGCTCCTCCAACGTGTCTGTGCAGTCGTAGAAAGTATCCTAAAATGCAAGATTTTTCTTCTCTCTCGCGCTCTCTCGCGCTCTCTCTCTCTCTCTCTCTCTCTCTCTCTTTCTCTCTCTCGCTCTCTCTGTCTTTCGCATTCGTTCTGTCACTTACTCGATCTGGGATGCCATGAAGAGCCTTGTTAATCACTGTCATTCCGATGACAAGCGTTTCCGGATCCGGACAGTCCTTTTCGCTGACCGCCTTCACCAACAGGGTCCAATCAGAACGATCTGGAAATCGACAAACATCATCAGAATAAACAATTGTAAACAAATAAACAATAAACAATTGTAAATAATTTTAAACAATCTATTTCCCACGCGAATTGGCAAAAATTGTTTGCCTTCCAGGCCCCTTTAAAACGCCGAATTTCGAAAAAAAACGAAAAATTCAAATTTTACCCACTTGCAGCTTTATCAACAGCCGAAACAGCAGCAAGTACAAGCAGTGAATTGTTGTCGTTGTACTCGATGAAAACGAGGAGCAGCTTCAGCGCCGTTTTCACGACCAAACGGAACTAAAAATTTCGAATTTTTAGCATTTTCCGTCCAATTCCATCAATTCCAACATGCAACAAAGAACACGGAACTGGTCTGGCAACTACCGTACCCATTCCTGCCTGTAGGGGCTCATCTCCTTCCGCTCCTTCTCGTCGTACAGCTGAAAGTGGACACCGGACAGTACGGGACGATACGATGGACAATGGACAGGGTACAGAGGAGCGTAACGGACTAATTGCCGTACCAAGGAGTGTGACGGACTCTACTACCTTACACATAGTAGTGTAGCGGACACTACTAACGTACACAGAGGAGCGTAATGGAATGCACCATCGTTACGAGAGGACGCAGGAGCGTAACGGACTCTAGTACCGTTCACAAAGGAATTTAATGAACTAGAGTGCGGGTCAAAATGATAGGTCCACACACTTTTTCGCAATTTTCTCGGAGTAGAACGATTTTTAAGCTAATAGAAACAGCAGGTCTTATAGCCCTTGAAAAGACAAATTTTTTCATGTTATCAAAATATCTCTATAAAAACGGATCGCCGATCCAGAAAGCAAAGAATAAAATGGTTCCAAAAACCGATGTGTCAAAATGATTGATTTCTAGACTTTTCAAGTAGATCAAAAACTTCGTTTTTTTTTTAGGACTACAAGTCCTATTATTTGGGTTAGTCAGAAATTATTTCTCCGCCGAGAAAATCGACAAAAACTAGGTGGACCTATCATTTTGACCCGCACTGTATATACGGCACATAGAGGAACTTAACGGACTGTACTACGGTGTAGAGAGGAGCGTAACGGACTCAAAATCGTACCGGTGAGTCCAACAGCTCATACAGCCACTGGATAGTTGCGTTGTGGGCGACGATCCCGTTCATACCATCCACGTACAGCATCACTTGCCCAAGAGCTAAAAAAAAAGATGTTTTTAAAGGTACTAGGAAGCCAGAAATTGGCAAAAACTTTCTGAAAACCCAGTAACGCGATTCCCAAATGGTCATTGCTGGCTATCCCTGAGCTTTTCGTTTTGTAGATCTTTGCGGCGTTTTCCTGGCTTCTCAGTACCTTTAGGATACGATAAATGTATTTTCTTTTTTATGAACTCCCCCAATTTTCCCTAATTCCCCTCGAACGATAGATTAGCCCACCGAAAGCCAAAATTTCTCCGGATTCCAATGAGTGAAAGCCAGTGAAATTCAAATGTCCTTCCTCTCGCTCTCTCTCGCTCTCTCTCTTTCTCTCGCCTAATTAATCATGCCCCGGGGCGCCCTCACAGCCCATTCCCACCGATATGATAACGGCCGGGGAGGGGGGGGGGGGGGGCTGGAATCCCGGGCGTGAGACTCCCGCTGCGCATTTTTGAGCATTAGGCCGAAAGGAGCGAGAATGAAGTGCACCTAGCAGAAACCATTTAGGAAGGCCGGATCGTCGGATAAGCTGGCAGAGATTATTTTTAAAAAGCCTGGAAGCCGGGGCAAGCGAGCGTTGAGAATTTGGGAGGCGCTATAAAAAGGGGTAAACTAGCAGAGAGCATTTGGGAGGGTGAAGTGACCAGGAGAGCCAGCAGAGGCTATTTAGGAATGTCTAGAGGTCAGGGCGAGCTAGAATAGATCTTTGAGGAAAGTCCTCCGGCTGGGGGAAACTAGCAGAGATCACGTATGAACGTTTGCAGGTCATGGTAAACTAGCAAAGATCATTTAGGAGCGTTTGAAGGGAAGGCAAGCTAGCAGATATGATGCAAGGCTTGAAGTCATGAGCGTACTAGCAGAGATCATTTAGGAACGCTTTGATCTCTGGGCAAGCTAGCAGAGATCATTTCAGAAATATCACCCACCTCTCAAAATATAATTCTGATGATTCTGATCAGCCACTCGACCCAGCCGAATCATACAGTCCAGCCCTCCATTCTGCACAAATTCATGCACCAGGTCTTTGTCATCCTGGAATGGGGTACGGTAGAAAGGGCAAACAAAAATTGAAAAAATACCTGGAAAATCTGCTTCAACGAAAACAAGGCCCTTCTTTGATCTCGACCACCGGCGTTTAGGAGTTTGTCTGAAAATAGGAGGGTTAGAAAACCTGGTTCACAGCCTATTCTGCTTAATGCCAAATTTTTGCGATTTGATAAATGGCTAAGTTGCATTTTTCCACCACCGTGCTATTTTTTAAAATTTAAGAAATTTGCATCTCTCAAAAAAATTTAATTAATGTTCACGTTTTAAAATCTATATTCGATGTGCAAATTAAGGACCTCAAAATTGCGCTAAACCCCCGAAAAAACTCACCAATGATTGTCTTCACGCGGAGCGTCGTCTGCGTGCGGAGCACCAGGCTGCAGCGACGACTGAAAAATGTTGCATAAATTGCGCTTTTCCTATTTTTATTTTAATAAATTGTTTTTATTAAAATTTACTATACCTTAAGCTTAATTTACCTGCAATTTGAATAATCTTAAGTTTGCTCATTTTGGTTAAGATTTAATGCCCAATTTTTATCTTAATTGCCCCCGCCGAACCTCCTAAACTCAGCCTCCCAGTCAAATTCCTCCTCCGAGTCGAACTGCTCGGACTCGTCGGCCACCTCTGGTTTAGCTCGAATTGGTTGTACTCGTTGCCGGGGTCGTTCTGCTACTGTAGCAGGAGCTATCCCTAGACTGGTGTCTCCTTGATGTCGTCCGGTATTGTTTTCAGGTTCGGCATAGTCTTTGACTTCTTGGACGGCTTCAGCTCGTCCTTGTGTTCGCTGCTGAACGGCTCCCAGACGACCGGCATCGCCTGGTGGAAGGTGAGACTGTGTTGCAGCCGGCTTAGGGAGCTCGGGCTCGAACAGTTTGGAGTCGTCGCGCCTCTCGAATCGTGCCCGGAAGTCAGCCACCCCACCCCCAGACGGCTTTTCCCATTTTGGGAGTTGGAAGTTGGGTTTTGGCTTGATGGTGCTTTTAATTTGGGAGGTTTCGGAGGTTTTGTTGCTCTCCAGCTCGACGTTGAGCTTTTTCTCGTGCTCGAGCCCAGCTCGGTCTCCAAAATCTCTTGCACCTCGAGCTGCGGAGGCTTCTGCTGTGGCTCCCATACTTCCGCTGGTAGCTCCCGACGACTTTGAGGTGTTCGGGGGAGCGTCGCGTAGCTGGGCGCTGAATTCGAGTACGGGAGCAAGACGTTCAGGCTCGCGAAATCCGAGATCTGGCACTTTTGCCCATTTCGAGCCTCCCCGGCTTGATGTTGTTGCCTCGAGGCTGTACTTGCTGGAGTCCTCGTCTGCATCCCGCCCTCCTTGAAGTGGTCCTGCACCTGATTTTGCCCATTTTGATCCGCCCAAGCTCGATCTTGAAGCCCCGAAGCTTGAGCTTTCACCGGAATTTGTTGCGTGCCGTACTGCTTCAAGTCGTTGGTCGATTGAACTTGACCATTTCGCGCTTGCCACGCTTGGATTTGGGGCTTCAGTGGCTTGCCAAGGGGTTGGAGTCGTTCGGGCGCTTGAGATTCCGGTGGGTTTTCGAGTGTCCGGTCCTGCTGCAACTCGTTGGTCAGCTGGTTTGGCCCATTTTGAACTTCCCAAACTCGTTCTTTCACCGGAAATTGGAGTGCCCCGTACTCCTTGAATTTGTTGCTCCCCAGCTGGAGTGCATTTTGAGGTTCCCAGGGAGCTTTCGGCGTATTTAGCAGCGTCCCGTACTGCTCCGACTTGCTGATCAGCCTGTGTAGCCCATTTTGGGCTTCCATAGCCTGATTTAGAAGCTCCGGAGCTTGGATTTTCACGGGAATTTGGAGCATCCCGTACTTCTTGGACTCGTTGATCACCTCCCCTTGCCCATTTCGAGCCCCCCAGTCCCGTTCTTGAGCTGCTTGGCCCCGTCGTTCCACTTCCACCTCGCCAATCTTGGTCTGCTTCCAGGTTGACTGTTTTTGCGGTTTGTTGCCCGAACTGCTTGGTGTCCACCCCCTCGGGAGGCTTCGGTTCCACGCGATCGCGAAAGGGGTATCGATTGGTGGCCGCCGCAGGGCTGTACTCCTTGCGGAAGGCGTGTTCAATGTCTTGGCGCTGGAGCTTGGGGCTTTTCCAGGGTTCCTCGATTTTGGGGGCACTTTTGGGGTTCTCAGAAATCATTATAGTTTGGAGGGCCATCTAGGGGAATATCGAAACTTTTAAAGGCTTTTTCAGGTTCTTCTTTTGCTTGAAATTTGGCTAGAGTGGCAGATAATGCCGAATTTCTAGAGTAATTTGCTGTATTTTGTAGCTTGGGAAATTCGAGGCTACGCGAGGCACCTATCGACGCGGAGTGTAATGTAGGGGAATCGGGCAGATCATCGTCAATGTACGGTATCGTAGCCTGAGGATAGGCCGGCTCAAGTACGGTGGGCCGACGTGGGAATCGACTCGATTCTGGTTTTAAAGGACCGTTGCAAGTGAGGGGCTGAACGGTCGGAGAATCTGACAAGGTGATACGCCTGAGTCTGGGGTAGCTACGTCTTACTGTAGCACTGATATGGGATGGACAGGTCGATGTCGTACGC